TTTTTCTTAAAATTTAAAATTAATGAGAAAAAGTGGTTGAAAATTTAAATACTTTTATAGAAAAATATATATTATTATATATTTTACTATGACACTTTTTACTTGTGCAAATTACATATGTTATATTATAATAAATTTTCTAACTTATAACATAACTCCATTAAACATAAATATATTAATTGAGAAATAATTTTACAATTTTAATTAATTTTAATAATTAATTTTATCATTATTATAAAGATAAATATAGTTTATTTATTTATATTAACAATATGGATGTCAAATCAAAGCTCATCAAAAGATGATTAATTTGATATATTATATATGTAAAACCGATAAGAAATACAAAAGTTATCAACTTTTAAAATACATTTATAATTCAATGGTTATAATAGGAAATGATATTAAAATACAATTAATACATCTAAAATGATCATAAATAAATCTACATATTTATGGTAATCCGAACCTCATTATTTTTGGATTGGAATTACATTAAAATCTATCCAAGCCAAATAATAATGTTTTATATAAAATTAAATTATTTTAGTTTGAAAAAAAATTAATAATTTTTTCATATGCTTCCTAATTCAACACCCGTGTATTACACGGTTGCTTGCTAAATTTTTTTTCTTAAATTTAAAATTAATGAGAAAAGGTGGTTGAAATTTAAATATTTTTTATAGAAAATATATATATTATATATTTTAGTACGACACTTGTTACTTGTGCTACTTACTTGTGTTATATTATAATAGTTTTTCTAACTTATAACATATAACTACATTAAACATAAATTTAATTGAGAAATAATTTTATTTTTCTAATTAATTTTAATAAATAATTTTATTATTATTATAAAGACAAATATAATTTATTTATTTTATATATACAATATAGATGTCAAATCGAACCTCACCAAAAGCTGATTAATTTGATACATTTTATATGTAAAACCGATAAAAAATACAAAACTTATATTTTTTGGAGTTTGTTTTATAAGCTAAATGCTATTGTTAGCAATATTATAAGCTCCCTTCATTAATATTAAATTTCAACACCTTATATGGGTTTGGATAGCATATCTTGTATTATTATAATACTTAAAGAGAGGCTTTGCTCCCGTGTAACACCCGTGTAATATGGGTTTGGATGCTATCAACTCAAAATAATATATTATAATATTAAGTTATTTATTAGAGAATGTATTGTGAAAGCAAGAGGATTAAGCAATATAATAATTGTATTAATTTTTATCCGAACCAAAAAATTTTATCCGAATAAAAAACCGAAACATGTAATGTTGTCAAGTAAGCTTTCGAAGCGTGCGAGCCAACCATTTAGGCTCAACACGTTTTCACATTATATTAAGGGGATATTGGGCTCAACAATTAATTTCCACTAAACAAAAGTTTCCTTCAATTCAATTGTGTTGTTGTGTGTGTGGCGTGAGTATTTGGGCTCAAATTCTTTATTTCTTTTCATTTTCTGCAAATTGGGCCTTAATTGATCCGATGTTGAAAAGCCCTACATTGGCTCACGAGAGTTGCTTCCCCATATTTAGCCATCCACGAAAATACTTCAATATGCTGAAAAATAATACATAAAATACCAAATAAAATAAATCCATCAAAATAATAAATAAGTCTAAAAATATAAACGTGCAAATAAATAAGCATATACAAATACGCTATTAAATATATAAAACGCGCACATTTTTCGACCTATCAGTTCCTGCAGAATATCGAATGAGAGGGGTGACTTCGAGTCGGTCGGTATACTTTCAGTTTAGTCTCGAGAGACCGATACGGTCCGCTTCAGGCTTTTTCGTCGGGCTTCAAGTTCAGCTAGTCTCTTCCGCAGCTTTCTCGTCTCTTCCTCTTCGTTGGCGTTCACTCTTTTCTTGAGCAACTTCCTTCTAAGGTCGTCTTCGGCCCCACTCTTCCCCAATCGATTGAAGACGGACTGGGTGGTGTGGCACGTCCTTGAATTTGTGACCGAACGGCTCTCGTCGGTCTCTTGTTGCTCCGTTTGCGTAGTAGTCTTCTCCCTTCGATTTTTTGTGGGGTTTTCTCGGGTCTGCGAGGTTTCCTTCTGGGTCATCGGTCCTGTGTCCTTTTGCATGGTCCTGGTGAGGTCTCTCTTGGCTGGGGTTTTTTGTGCTTGGGACATCGACGGGTGGATCTGGTTCATGAGGTTCAAAAATCCCTTGACAAATTTAGGGTTTTTGAACAAAGTGGTGAAGTCGGTTGTTGAGGGTTAGCAGTTTCACCAGATTTCTGCTTCTTCCGACGTCTCGTGTTGCTCTCGGTGGCTTGACGATGATGCAGTTGTTTTTGACATTAGGCCCTTCCTCTAGAGCCAATTGTTGATGTATGTAAATGTACCAATAATATTCGAACTGCGTACTAGAATGTACACTCGGTTCGGTTTGCTGTCTGGACGAATAGGGTTATTACGAGAAATTGGGATGAATGGATACGCTATTCTTGACTTTAAAGTGTATTTATTAGGAGAGGAATATTCTCATTGCATTTAATGTTGTCTCTTATTCCTTTTATAGTGAATGTGAGGTCTTGTTACAATCCTTTTTGGGATTTTTATTTTTTGTTTTCTTTTTTGAGATATTCTATAGATATTTAGTTACACCATATTTAATGCATAGTACTACATAATATAATCCAATATAAATGATGGACCCGGCCTGCGACACGTGTCTCTATGGATTTTGCGCCATCAGATCTGTGATTACCAGATCCCATCGCATTTAATGCGTATCATACGAACAATCCATTGCTATGATTACTGCCATTCGAACGCTTCCACCCCTATGTATCTGTTCAGTACGACCCGTGGTTTTCAAACCTCTACCAAGCACGATTCCGCACAGACTCCCATGTTTTGCTAGAATCCTCAGTGTTTGGTCGATATCTCGTTTAAGGAGTTATCCCTCTAACAAGGTATGTCATCCAAGAAAAATAGTACAACATGGGTTATTATTTAGCAAATAATATATATTACAAATGGTAAACTCTTGTCCAAACTATTTGTGACCCACTTAGTAAAGAAATAAAAATTGTAGTGAAACAAGAAGCATGCGGAAAAGATGTGGAGCTTGCATTTGGAGTACTCCAAAGTCGATTTGCTATTGCTGCTAATCCTGTCCGATTTTGGAGTATAAATGACTTACAAGATATAATGATTGCATGTATTATTTTGCATAATATGATGAGGATGAACGTGATCTTGATGCACCGGTCGAAGTTGCGGTATCCCAGATGTTGAAACGGTGTGTAATGAAGCTTCACAGTTCCAAGCATTTGTTATTCGATAGAGGCAAATTCGAGATAAAGACGCTCATATTGCCCTTCGTAATGCATTGATTGATTATGTATCGGAGGATTATAATTCAGAAAATTAGATGTAATGTTATTGTAATCGTTGTTTGTAATGATTTTTAATTTTTCGTTGTATTATGTAATTTGTATTCCTATTGTTTGAATTTCTGAAGCAGTCTCGTGTTATTATTCATAAACATATTTTTATTATTTGGGTAATAAACATTTATATTAGATTAAATATACATATATGTACCAATTTATTTGGAATAAAAATGAATAAAAAAAAATATATTTGATGTAGAGTAAAATGTAGCGCGAAGGGGTGGAGCCGGAAGTTGAATTTTGGCTAACTCTACTCTAGAGTAGAGGAGAGGACTGAAGATGGTCTAAAACAACATAATTAAAGTTGATTTAATGTGAAAGTAGGAGATTGATTATGTGAGTGATTGTTAGTTAAAATTTTACGTGAGTTGATGAATAGTGAATTAAATTTGATGTAATGTGTAAGAATGATTGATAAAATTGCACCAAACCACCTGTGTTATACGAAATGTGCACGTTGCTAACATGTGTTTTAAAAAATGCGTGACACCCCATTATATTTAACTAACCAATTCACACCCATTCACGGTGTTAATTATTTTTGCAAAAACACCGTTTATCCTCCGAATATTATATTATATATATTTACGATATATTGAATTTATCACAATATATTGAAGATAATACGAGAAATTGAATAAAATTTTTTTGCAACCCCTAGGGTTTACACCTGGGACCTCATGGGAGTGTGTAAGAATTGCAACCACCACACCGCTAAAGGTTGCTTGTTATATCTAGTAATGTTTAATATATACAGACATTACATATGGATAAATCAAATTAATATTTTAAAACATAATGTAAATTATATTAATAAAATGTAATCTTATGATAAGTTAAAATATAATAAACTAAACTATATAAAATTAAATGAAAACAAAAAATTAAAGTCACTTGTTATATAAACGAAAACAAAATAATTAAAATAAACTATAAATAAAACCGAGAACTGAAATGCAAAAATGAGGAACCGAGTATTACATACCAAGATTCGGAACCGATTCATATATATAAACATATAAAACATGCATATTTCATATAAATAGTCGGTTCCTCGGTTAATACACATACATTTGGAAAAGAACCGAGAATCGGAACCGATTTGTGCAAAAAATAACCGGAACCGAAAAAATAATTTTTTTAATAATCGGACCGAACTAGTTATTTTCAGGTATAAAATCCTACTCTTAATTATTATTATTTTAACTAAGTACCATTCTCACTTGAACCCAATATATAGATTAGATGCAAAATTACATTACATAGAATATGATTGGAGAACATATGCAAAATTACATTGCATAGAATATTACTAGAGAACACATGTACATGATAAGTATTGCACTATCTAAATAAAATCATTTGTTGGTAAATGGGCACATGCATAGCATAGAAATGTAAACATTATCCACATTTATTTTGTTTCCATGTAACTATAAGAGTAGTGTAATTACACAATTATATTATTTCTTGTTATGCAGTCACTTAAATAAGTGCAAAAAGAAATAATAATAAAGTAGTTCCCTCCACATCTATATCCGAACCAAATTCCCTCCCTTCATCTCCACTTCCCTTTTTTCCCTCGTTTTCTTCCCCGTTTTCTTCCCCTCTT